TAAATATAATTCTTTTATAACATATTTAAAAATAAACTATTTTTTAAAAAATAAACTAAAGTTTCATCATAGAAGTTAAAATATTTTTATATTATGAGTTTATCTTCCATATTTCAATTATCAAAATATCTTATATTTTGACTAAATTTATATATATATATATATATATATATATATATATATTAAATAGATTTAAGATTTTATTAAATTTATCCTTCTATCCTATGCATTATGAAGAAAAAAAATGGCCTCTAGATTCATTTTTCCATCATTAAATATAAAACCAATGAAAACCAACCATTCATCATAATTACCATACTTTTCACTCTGGATAGGTCAATTTAGTAAAAACTTTGATCTATTTAATATGTTCCTAGATATATATATATATATATATATATATATATAGGCCAAACATATTAGCTCTCTCTCTCTCTCTTTCTCTTGATATATATATATATATATATATATATATATATATATATATCAAGAGAAAGAGAGAGAGAGAGCGAGCTAATATGTTTGGCTAATATTTAAAAATAAGTGTGTTAATTAGAAAGTATTTCAATGTAATTCTTAAAAAATAATTTTGGAAATTAGAATATATTTTATTAATATAAAAGAAAGATAATAGAAAGTAGTAAATATACAAGTAATACATGAAGGTGCATATATAAAAAAAATGTGAAATCAAATAACTCCCACTTTTCATACTTATTATTTATAAGAAGGAGATATAATATTAGATGTTTTTTAATTAGTGCTTATAAGATTATATCTTTATAACTTTTTCATCTTATAATTGGTCTTTATAAGATGTTTTTTTATTAATAATTAGATTCTTACAAATTAATCTTACCAATTTTTAAATACCATTAATTCTACCTACCTTAATAAGATACATTTTTACTTTTCTATATTTTAGAGATTAACAATCTAATACAATCTAAGCCACCACATTACCTATTTGAATTTTTTCATAGTATAATTTTAATCATTAACAACCAATTCTAATCAAAGTCTTTATTAGCCAAACATATTAATTACTATTATCTTAATTTATCTTAACTCTTATATATAAATTATATTATCAAATATATATATATATATATATATATATACATTAAAACCATAAAATTGAAAATTATTGTTTATAATATCAAAAAAATTAAAATATAAAATTAGATGCGAGTAATAATAAAGACTTAGTTTAGAGTTTCAACTTTAAAAAATATGATAAAATAAGTAAAAAACTTATACTATCAATTAATAAATAATAAAAATTTATCTTATATCAAAGAATATCAATTTTATTTTAAAAAAATAAAATAAAATAACACCTAACAAAACCTTTGTTAAAAAATTACTTTTTAAAACTATGTCATACAAGATTATACTTTTGCTTAACTAGTTTATTTGACTTTTTATTCTTATTAAAATATTTTTCTAAATTATAAAAATTTATTTACTATTTTAAGTATTAAATATTTTGATTTTTTATTTTATTAATTTATTTAAATATAAATTTTATATCTAATATGTATTTCATTTTGTGAATCTAAAATTTAAAAAGAACTATTTAGATAAATATTAAAATTTTAAAAGTGTTGATTGATTGTAACTATTTTACATATACCAAAAAACAAATTGGATTATCAAAGATTGATTTCAGATTATTTGGATTTTTTTTAAATATATTTTAAAATTGAACATGTTTATGGTTGATTTTAAGAGATTTTTAAATGAAAAATACTAAACTCTAAACAGCCATTAAAAATCATACACTTCCAAAAAAAACTAAAAAACTGAAATTTTAAAAAAAATATATATATATATATATATATATATTCTTAAGAACAATCAGGGCGTTTGAAAGTATTGGTTTCATTGCTGCTAGTTTCTTTTCTTTGTTTCCGTTTTGTTTCTTTGCCCTTTTTTCACATGTTGTAGCACATCGTAAACTCAAAACTTCCAAACAATGACCAGAACTAAAACAATCAAATTCATGAAAATAGAATTGGTGTTGTTTCCAAAATCAGCCAATTACACACGCATGCTGTCGTTTCTTACTTCTTACGTTTCATTGAAAAATCGTTCAAATTGGGGAGGGGGGGGGGGGATCATATCATGGAACTAAACACCAATTATTCTGCTCGTTCTCAACAAAATATCAACAAAGTTGGAGAATGGTAAGCAACAACCTGGACAGAACAGCAAGATTCCAGTTAGTCCAGAAAAGGAAACACATCACGTTGAACAGCTACCATGAAGCAGGGTGTGAGTGGTGGATGTGGAATCTACGAGCATGTGTGTGCAAAAAAGAAGGTCCACAAGCACTGGATCTTCCCGGATGGAGGGATCATATCCCAATTGTGTTGTGCCACGAGACCTGTCAGAACCTGACTCTGATTTAACATATCCACAGAAATTGAAACTGAATCAGATTCGAGCTCCCTCACACATTTTTCATGTGGGTTGTGCACTCATCCCCACTGAGCTTGCTACATCTCCACCACTTCAGAGGAAGAAGAAGTGGAAAAGAAGTAGAAGCAGCAGCTGAAGATTAAGAAGAAGAAGACGAAGTTAACGAAGGAGTAACACTGCCCATCAATGCTGTGTTCAGCAGAAGTTACAGTCTCCTTACTGTGGAGTGTGTTGGCGGAGGAAGATTTCAGTGTCTTTGAAGTCATGCGCTGGCGAAGGTGACTGCGTTTTCACATTTTACAAGAGAAGAAAAACCTGCTGTGAAAATGGTGGGTGATATCGGTGGTGTGAGTTAGTGATGGGTGGATGATGTGGGCTCTTGGAATCAGCGGGTTGGAACTTGTTTTTGCTTAAGCAATTCTGAAGAGTTGCTTAAAAGCTGAAATTCTCGTACGATGCAGCCGCTTTCAACCCACACTAGGGTACATATGAACCACAATTTTTGACACCCACACCATTTGTAAAGTTTCCATGATTACAGACCCTCATTTATGGATCTCAATATTGGACACATGCTTGTCGATCGAGTGAGGCAAGGCGGACATCTTCACTTTTCGTGAATCAAAAAATAAAATAAAAAAATAAAATAAAACAACGACAACAACAACAACAACAACAATATAAACGTGGGTCAAACATACACGTGACTTCCACTATTGTTGAACAAGCTGCCACCTCAGATGTCTTGCAAGGGTACCGCCCCCAGCTTGGCATCTGAACGCATTGCGCTTGCTTGTCGAAAAGCCTGAATCGACACAAGCCATAGATGACGGCGTATATATACCAAGACATGAAAGCACAACCGACGAGAGGCAGGCGCGGCTATCAGCTACCACATCTGAAGCAGAAGCAGCGAGCCAGATAATGGTGTCCAGTAGCACACAGGAGTGATTCAACGGTGGACCTCATTCCCCCGGAGGATCAGAGATTCATTGGGATGCAGGCCCTTTAGAGAAGTGAACCTGCTTCGGCAACGAGGCATTTTACCCGTGTCAATCACCGAAGGCACCCATTCGCCACAAGTTGGGTGCGATCTCCTGACTCAGATTCTGTCGGAACAGACAAGAATCACGTCGCGACCTCAACATAGCAAACTATCTGCAATCTCTTCGCACAACCGCGAAGTTGGCTTGTATCGATGTGAAGAATATTGGATCGCTGGTGTGCATTGAGCCAGCTGATCTAGACACACATCCACAGTTGCTGCAAAGCGCTACTAGGTCATTCAGCAATTGATACCACAAAAATTCGGCATAAAATTCGGGCATAGTCTGATGAGAATGGTGATGGAGCCTTCGGTAGGACTATCGAGACTTTTGTGTAAAAATTTGACAATTTGACGAAGTTTTCTGTGGTGATCGGTGAGTTTGCAAGATGAATCACCGACACTTTCAAATTTTGAAATACGTATATATATATATATATATATATATATTCATTCATATAAAGTCAAAGGTCTTGTGTTTCTTTGATATGTTTCATTCTTATTTGTTTACTTCTTGAATCTCTTTCATTTGTAAGTATGATCATTCGAGTTTTAGGAACTTAAGTTGTATGCATATCACTACATCAATTTCAATGCGAACTAGAGAACATGGGAACATGAGAATCAAGGGGCATGGATGAACAAGGGAATGGATGAATGTGACAAAGATTGCAGTGCCCAATATCATGGGTTTTTGCTAGTACATATAAATCTAAGCTAAAATAACAAAAGTCTAATGCCAAAAGTAAGATAGTTTGTATAAATAAATAAAACATAATTTGAAGCGTTTCTATGGAGTAATTTTTTTATATATTTTTTTATATTTTTTTAACATTACCAATTTTGACTATTAACCTATATATATACTTAAAGATAAAATAAAGAAAAAAAGAAAAAATTTAATTTTTTAAAAAAAGTTGATATACTTAGCATAGAAAGAGAAAGGTTATGCAAACTTTCTAAAATTATAATCATAATTAGCTTTATACTTGAAAAATTAAATTGAAAGTTTATATGGGAAAAAGATGGAATAGAATGATTTCTTTTTTCTTTTCTTTCTACATAGCATAAATAATGTTTTCTCTTAAAATTTGTGATATGCTCAACTTAATTATTTTTTTATAAGAATTTAGGAAGCTATATATATATATTAAAATTATGTTTTTTATTCTCTTTTTACTTTTGAAAAATAAGACATAAGTTTCTATATTTAAAATTATAATAAATAGTAAATTTGGCCTATTTTATAGCTTCTTCTTACTTTATACTATCTCCAAAGGCTTAGGATTTTAAGTAAGAATTTTTCTTCACTAGAGAGAGTTGCATCAAGCCCACGGTGGCAAAGAACCCCAATGGGACGAGTAAGAATAGGGCTGAGTCAGCAACCAAAAGCAGCACAAAGCCGTCCACGCTATCGGATGACGTGCCACGAGTGGCCCACGTAGCAACAGACCGCGACGGAGCAGTGTGAAGAGAGCCATTCCTCGTCCCTTTCAGAGGATGTTCTCGTAATAATAATATAACTCGCGGAGTGAGACGGGGCCATTCGCTCCGAGTGGAATCGCGATGAATCAGGTCTTGCGAAAATAGTTGAATTTTTTACGGTGTTGTAGAATTTGGCAAAGCATAATTAATGGTTGGCAGTGAGTGAGCGAGTGAGTGTTAGTTTTGTAATGAAGTTTGTGACGCGGAGTGTGTCTTGGACTTCGACGATGGGGCTTGAGTGATGTGGACGACGAGTGAGGAGGAGGAGAAATCCGTTTCGGAGTTCATTGTTGTGGAATTTGATGTTGAGAGTGTGTGTGTGTGTGTGTGTTGAGTGGGTGAGGGTGTCTGGAGTTGCAATGTGGGAGGAAGAGCAAGCAGTGGTGCAGGTGAGAGAGAGTGAGAGCGAGTAGAGAGGCAAGAGGCGGCCATAGCGTGTAGGCAATTGGAGGTGAAGGTCGTGATCTGTTGTGCGACTTGGCGTTGCGAGATTGTGGTGGGAATGTGACCTTGGAGCGGTGAGTGCTTGGGGTGCGAGCAATTGTTGTGGAGGCGGCAGAATTTGGAAGGTGGGAGTAAGGGTGTTGGTGATTTGGTTGGGGTGGGGTGAGAGATGGAGGCAAGCGTGGCAATGGCGATGCTGGAATGTACAGCGTCGTTGCCGTCGACGCTCTGCACATCCTCCTCAGGGAAAATTTCGAGCTCGGTGTCGGGGACGGGGTTGGCATGCTTTCCCATGCAGGGGAGAAGTTGGGCCAAGTTGAAGCAATGCCATGGGGGGATGTGGAAGGGAGCGCATCGGAGGACCGTGATTACCAGAGCACAGGTCGGGAAGAAAGGGCCCGCGGGTGGTGGAGGAAGGAAGGATAGGGGGGTGATGTTGGATGAGAGCAAGAAGTTGCTGGCAATGCAGAAGGAGTTGCTTGATAAGGTGCGGTAGTTCTCGTCTTCTCCCTCCTACTCACTTTACTGTCACACTCGTTGTTGCAAGGCTGCGTGTGGGTAGCTAAGGATAGTTCCGGTAATTCTGTGACCCCGTGCCGAATTTATTGCAGGAAGTAGATTTTCCAATTTTGTCTTTTGTTTTTTCGTTCAAGAACCTGCTTTCTGCCGGATTCGTAGCACTTGGTTTTTGCAATCGACTATAGTACTTTGTTGTGGCTCTTCCAGCGATTAGTTCTTGAAGTTAGACGAGTTCAGCAGCTCGCGTTAAAAGCCGGTCTTACATTTAACCCGCTGATATAGTACCAAGTTTTCATTTCTTTGCCAAGATGTCCTAATCGGAAGTAAGATGCGGAACTACCTTGTGGTTGCAGTTTTATCCTTTGCGTTGTTGGATTATCAAATTCAGCTGCTCTAACATCTAAAAGAGCAGTCCACTTTGGGTAGGGAATTGTCACGAGGGAAAAGGCTAGACGCTTGAGTCGCAGAGCGGTTATGATTCTTTATCATTGTTGATTGAAATAGTAGTGTTTTGAAGACTAGAATTGGTTGTCGCTTACATGGGAACGTACTCGCCAAAAACGGGAAAAACTAGTCGTGTTCAGACATGTGGATGTTCTCAATCAGTGGCGATTTTGATGTAGTATGTTCACATCAGTCAATATGCTCGTGACTATGTAAGTTGTTTACCTTCGACTTCATATGAATTTAGTTAAATGAATGAATGTAGCGGGTAGAACTTACTTGGCATTGATTGTTCCATGACATCAGAGAAACCTTCAATTGATGGGAGCTTGGCAAGTCGACTTCCTCAAACATAGCGTCGCGTTTCACTAGCTACACTCTAAACTTTGAGCAGTTTGTTGAGGAATTTTGCAGATTGAGGAGAGGCAGAAGTTGTTATCTTCGTCAGGCCAACCTTCAGCTAGTATTGGTGTTGATCAATTGAGCGAACCTAAACCTAGCATATCTCAGTCAACTGTGGAAGTTTCTGAAGCTTCCTCTAGCACACAGACGGCCCCTTCTGAAACATCCGATAGGTCTGGTAGTGCTGTTGCTCAGCCTTATTCTCCTGGGATCAGTATGCCTGATGGGCAGCAGAAAGAAAGTACAGATTTTCACAGTGACCATGGTCGTGTGGGCACTGCTGGCAATGTTTCAGAGATGCCTCAACCAGCAGCAGTTGAGGCCGAAGCTGCAGCGCCTAGTGAAGCTGAAAAGCCACCCCCATTGGCTGGACCTAATGTGATGAACGTCATCGTCGTTGCTGCGGAATGCGCGCCGTGGTCTAAAACAGGTTAGTTTTGTTGGTTGGATGAGAAGTTGCTCTATTATATTGTTGCGTTTGTAGAACACAGAACTGTTTTTGATGAACAAGCCAAGCAGATATTCAAGGCTATATCTGAAGAAGACCTTAGGAATTTCGAAAAGCATTTTGTTTCTTTCTTCGCATTGTCCAGTTTCCAGATCGTTGAGATCTTCCTTCATTGCACCTTTATATTTTATTATAATTAAACCACTTTGTTTGAATTGTAGTCAATAGGTCTGGATAATTCTTCATCAAAGATAAGGCTTAATACTTCGTTTTTTGAACCTCTTTTGGACGTTCATTAATGTGTATTACGAAGGGGTGTTTTTTCTTGCATTGTGAAGGGGGTTTGGGGGACGTTGTGGGAGCACTTCCTAAGGCGCTCGCTCGCAGGGGTCATCGCGTAATGGTAAGTTTTTCTTTTTCTCGCCAAGTTTAAGTCTTTTTTTGCAGTTAACTATAATTGTAGAAAATATCCTGGTCTGTGTCAGCTGTTGAGAAGTTCCATTTATTGAAGATTTAGAGTTGTCAGATGATTGATCGAAAGGTAAAATGACGATCATATTCTTATTCAATGCGAGGTGCAGATTTTCTCGTTACTGATATTGTGTGTCCTACCCGCAGGTTGTGGCACCTCGATACAGTAATTATAATGATGCATGGGAAACAGGAATACGCAGGATTTACAATGTGTCTGGACAGGTAACCTGTCATCCTTCTGGCGTCTGTGTTGTAAAAAAAATAATAATAATCATAAAAAGAAAAAAGAAAAAAGAAAAAAGAAGCTTACATCAATTTATCTCACATTTGTGTCCACATTTTTTGGATATGTGCTGTTGGTATTACTTTTGAATGTGGTTGGGACTGGCAGGTGTAAGCTGGAATGAGCACTGCGAAATATTTTGCAATCCCCAATTTATTTTTATTTTTGTGGAGTACATGAGAATCTGCGTGTTTCAGCCATGAGTTGATTTTGCAGGATATGGAGGTTGGATATTTTCATTGTTTCTTGGACGGTGTTGATTATGTTTTTATTGACAATCCTATCTTTCATGCATATGCCAACAACATCTATGGCGGATCACGAGAGGTACTTAACACTTGCCATTTGAGCTTAATTGCCGGAAAATTGAGGCGTCCTTTCGGTTGTTGACGATGAACTAGTGGCGCAAGAATCCAATTCGCATTTGATCCTAATTAGGTGCTTCTTGGGTTTTGTCACAAACATGTAGGTCATATTTAGAACATTGTAGTTCTGAGCGCTCTTGGTGCAATTAGTTTTTGACAGTGTTGGAAAATTTCTGTCTGAACTACAGGATGTGCTGAATCGCATGATTCTACTCAGCAAAGCTGCTGTGGAGGTTAGTATTTGAGTCCAACTTTTAAAAGAGTTCTAAGGCTTATTACGTAGGCCAGCAGTCTTGTGTTCCGATAACCTGATGCTTTTAAAAACTGGTCTGGCTTTGATTTCTGGGCCGAAACATCCGAGAATATAGGTTTCATTAAAGTTCAAGTTAAGACAGAATTAGTTCCCTACGAGAGTATGACGTATGTTTTAACGTTTTTGTGCAGACCCCATGGCATGTCCCTTGCGGTGGTGTGTGCTATGGTGATGGAAACCTAGTATTCATTGCCAACGACTGGCATACAGCGTTGGTACCGGTTTATCTGCAGGCTCACTATCGGGATAACGGTTACATGAAATTCGCTCGATCAGTGCTGGTCATTCATAATATGGCTCATCAGGTAGGGTTGCATTTCATCTGATTTGTCTGCTTTTTGGGCAAGCAATTGCGTTGAAAGGTCTAAGTAAAGAATCGGTACAAGTCACTTCCAGCTCGTCCTAGTCCTGGAAATCTTGTGTGTTACAGTCGTCCATGATGCTCATCTAGAACTAATTCAGGTTAACGAATTAGTTCTTCGTGGCTAATCTTTTCTACATAAGTAATGGAATTACAGAATAGAAATAGATTGTAGTTTTCAGATTGTCAAAAGTCCTATCTGATTAAGATGAAGAGCAGTAAAGTGTTTTTTTTTTTTTTTTTTTTTTTTTTTGTTTTGTTGAAGTGAATGATTACCTGAACTCTCTTGAATTACCGTGTTTCCTTAACACAGGGGAGGGGACCACTGAAGGACTATGGAAAATTAGGTCTACCTGATCACTATATCAGTAAATTTCGGCTTTACGATCCGCAAGGAGGGGAGCACAACAACATCTTCATGGCAGGTCTCATTACAGCACACCGCATCGTAACTGTAAGCCATGGCTATGCATGGGAGGTACAAACACCGGAGGGAGGTTGGGGATTGGATGGGGTAATCAGGGACCACAACTGGAAGCTGAGAGGTGTAGTGAATGGTATCGATGACAAAGAATGGAATCCAGATTTAGATGTCCATCTGAAAAGTGATGGTTACACCAATTACGACATCGAAACTTTAGATTCTGGCAAAGCGGCATGCAAGGCAGCGTTGCAGAAAGAATTGGGATTTCCAGTGCGTCCTGAGGTGCCTTTGCTTGGATTCATAGGCCGGCTCGACTCCCAAAAGGGAATAGATATAATAGCACAGGCCATGCCATGGCTGGTGACCCAGGATATCCAACTGGTAATGCTTGGAACCGGACGCAAAGATTACGAAGACATGTTGCGACATTTTGAGGGTGCATATCGGGACAAAGTGCGGGGATGGGTCGGTTTTTCTGTGCAGACGGCCCATAGAATCACTGCTGGTGTCGATATTTTGTTGATGCCGTCCAGATTCGAGCCATGTGGACTGAACCAGCTGTACGCAATGCGCTACGGCACAGTACCAGTTGTGCATGCTGTTGGTGGTCTGAAGGACACAGTGCAGCAATTCAACCCCTTCAATGAATCAGGCCTGGGATGGACCTTCGACGGCCTGAACGCAGATGCTTTTATCCACGCCCTTGGAAATGCCATGTGGACCTACCTTGATTTCAAGACTAGCTGGAAGGGTATCCAGCAACGAGGCATGTCCCAGAACTTGAGCTGGGACCACGCAGCCCAGCAGTACGAGGAAGTCCTCCTTGCAGCCAAGTACACTTGGTAACCAACTTGTCTCAGCTCTGCCATTTGTGCAGCACATTAACTTCTTATGGATTTTCTCGCAATCGTCTCTGGCGAGCTTCTTCATCGCTGCATCAGATCACATTTCAATCTGGAGCTGTAGATATATTTTTGCGTTGCAAATGCTGGTGATCTAGTTCAGGATCTCCACCTCCAAGCTGAGTCCAGTTTATCAGCTGGATTTTAGTGCGTGGAGGGGATTATCGAAGTTTGAAAATCCTCTTTCCTTGAAAGGTGCACACTCATCTGGCAAAGGCTACCATTTTTGGTTCCTTCCTGTCTGAAGGCATCCTACAGCTCTATTTCTCAAGGTGGGTAGCTTTTCCAAGGTCTGAAATGGGGAGGGTCAAATTGAGCTGATAAGATTGTATCGTAACATGATAAGGAGGCGCCCTACTAATTGATGTTAAAGGATGAGTGACCACTCTGGAATAGCTTGTGAAGACATGGAATACATGCTTCTTGTTATTATGCAAGTCTGGAATTGCATTCTTTTATTTGTAATCAGATCCTTTTTTACCACTTTGTAACTCAGCTGTTGTTGGTTTTTGTTTTAGTAGTAGGAAGCTGTTCCGAATACTAGAAACTTGAAGCTCTGAGTAGTGGATGAGTACAAATTTTTCTTGAAATGATTTCTTGTGGATGACTTGTTTTCTATGGTGTTTGTTGTAATTCATAATTGAGAATCAACTGCGCAGTTTTTAAAAACATATGAACATACACATACATATATTTGTCTGAAAAATAAATCAATGAATGCATAAGCACAGAAGTTTATTCAATTTGTTTTAGGTTTTTAATTTAAGCAAAGTGGGGATCAATTTTTTAAAATATTCAATGTATTAGTTATATTTTTAATGAATTCATGTCATTTCATTTATATATATATATATATATATATATAGATATACACACATATGTACTAGCAGAAATCCGTGCCTTTATGCATTGAATTTTTTTGCATTGCTATCCATCCATATTCTCTTATTTCCCATATTTCTTTATTTCTATGTTCTTGTATTCTTTATGTTCCCAAAGTTCTTATGCTCCTTTATTCATAGCTGATTGGAAGCCAACTTTGTCTCTTTGTATTATATTATGTTGTTACATTACATAGATAGTAGTGGAAACCAATGCTATTGGGCATTGCAATTACTTCCTCACAGCCAATTAAAAAGCTTCTTTGTCTCTTTGTGTTATACCCAAGCTGTCTCATATAATTGATATATATATATATATGTATAAATATATATAGGAAATTGTTAAATCAACTGAGGTATTTACTAAATTGATTTACCCATCATCATTGATTATTAACCAATGTTGATTTGGAAGCAGAGAATTTTTTGATGATAGTTAGAATGAGTGAATCAATTTAGTTAATGTTTGGATCAATTCAACAATTCCCTATCTATATATATATATATATATAAAATAATAATGTTCCCACATTCCCATGCTCTTGTGTTCCCACATTCCTTATATTCCCATAGTTTCTACACTCTCTTCTTCAAGACCAATCAAAAGCTATCTTTGTCTTCCATCCATGCTGTTTTATTATTAGTAAATGTTTTATGATTTATTTTATTTGGTTGTAAATTACATGTGTTTTAAATAAAAAGTTAAACTTTGTACAAATCTTCATGTCAGAGGACATAAAAGAGGTATATACACTAATCTAAACTTTCATAAAATTTTATTATTATTACAATATGGCAACATCATTTCAATGCACGAACTGTATTAGTTAATTAATATTGTGAAGTTTCATGAGGGCCTTTAAATATTTTGATAAAAATTTCAAAAAATAATTTTCATATAATGCAATTAGGGCAGCGTAGTTTCAAAATCTATTTTCTCATTTCACACCATGTGTTGAAGCTAGAATGCAGTGGATTTTAGTGTGAACTTGTATTTCCATGCCCACAACTCATGATATTGATTTAATAAAAGTAAAAAATAAAAAAAATCGTGAAGTTGAATTCTAAGAGCAAGATCCTAAAATTTATTGGCGAGCTAATAGGGCCTGGGTTTCCTTCAATAAGTTTAAAAGCACTTTTCACACACCCATCTGGTAGTGAAGAGAACACATTCCGATGAAGAGCAGGCGTCACGAAGGCGACATGTTCTGCAATGGAACAGTGCTAGATCAGCACATGTACGTTCCAGCGCAGAATAGCCGTATCCTACACGACGTGTTCTGTATCAGAACAGCCTTGGAGGTGCAGAGGGACCATGTTCGAAGCTGAATACCTGCTTGCCGTTGTTGTTGTTGTTCCTTATGGATACTTGTTGCTCTACAATGGCAGCCATGGCGGACGCTACCACGGTGCGGAAGCCGCGGGTGCGCGCTCTGCGTTGGCTGGCGGGGATTGTAATACGTTACTCCCAGATCATGAGGTATTCAAGCAAGTTCCTATGGCATTTTGCATTTGTCCGACACTTTTTAGGTCATAGACTGCGGACCATGTCCCTCTCCTCACCTCGCTCCATCATCCCATATGCTTAATTGCTTGAATCTTCGGTTTCTTGGCATCCACTAGTACGTAATGCTCATCGTTACTGCCAATCGCTGCGGCAGCAAAATAAAGACAGCTATTGTAGATCGCAATCGTGTGTTTATAACTGCATTCCACGGATGATGATGGATTTTACGTGATATATATGTTTTTTGCTTTCTTCGGTTGGATGGCAGTGGAATCTGCTATACTGCAGGTTTGATCACGGTGTTTCTTTTGCCGGTGTTGTCAAAGCCAACCTATATCTCGGAGAATGCGCTTATGCCAGGTTTAACTCCATTCCGGAACGTGTAATCTTTGATGAACATTCATCTTTAAACAGTACGTTGAAACTTGGACAAGCATTTTGCCGACGTATGTTAGATTTTATTTATTTATTTATTTATTTATTTTTCTCAAAACCCATGGGATTTATATTGTTGATCACATCATTCAGTTATATGGACTTAAGGTAAAAGCACGCTTGTGGATTGTGTATGTAGGATCGGCTAATTCTGTTTTTACCCCCAAAAGCGCCACGGATGCCAGATTAATAGCTGAGGAACTTCACAACATGGTGGCTGAAAGTAGCGATGGATATATGTGAGCTCAAGCTCAAAGTATAGCTTTTTGTAGCTTAAATTTTTTCCTATCGTTTGATTTATGATTGCTTTTCAATAACCTTTCATTCCAAGCTTTTATGTAGACCTGTATTTGCATTTGGGTTTAAGTGTGAGTTATGATTTACTATCCTACATATTAAGTCCTTGAATAAATTTTTTCGTTTGTTTTCTTTTGGTTTTTTTTTTTCCGGGTCGACCTCTTAACTATTACCTACATGCAGCTTTCTGAAAGAGGCAGTTGATGCAGGGCAGTTCGAAAATGGGCAATCAACCGTATGTCAGCAATTGGTGCAGATTTTTATCTACACACTTTTACCCATCGAGAAAAGCCTTTCACATCTATGCGTTTCTTCTCAAGCCCACAGCAGATGCCACGAAACTGGAACTCCACTAGGGTATGTATAAATGCAAAGCTTCAAGTGTTTTTTGATGACCGTAATGGTATCATGTGTAAGATGCCTTGCTTAGTTTTACTGTCTCAGTGTTATTTGATTAATACTTTTCGTGATCTTTCTATGCTCCAGGATGGGGATCTGGGAGTGAATACTGTGGGCATCATCAAAGCCCCAAGAGCAGAAGGAAATGAAGCAGTAGTGCTGGTGACCCCTTTCACCTTAGATGGAGGAAAACTATCCTCTGCTGATAAACTGACCTTGTCGTTTGGAATGGCATTATTTGAGCTCTACGGCAGTGCAAATTGGTTGGCCAGAGATGTTATTTGGGTCTTGGCAGATGCTCGCTGTGATTCTCACACTGCAGTAGCTGCATGGCTTGAAGAATATCATGAACCCAAGCTTCATTTTTTAAGCGCGGCTGAGCTTGCCCATCTGTATGGACAAATCACTGACGGGATGGGCGATGCATCTGTACTGGAATTCAAGCGTGCGGGCTTCATATCAGCTGGTTTGGTTTTTCAAGTGTCGGCAGGGAACAGAGGACAAGTTGATTCTATCAAAGTTTCTGCCGAAGGGCCCAATGGGCAGATGCCAAACTTGGATCTCATCAATATTATTAATACATTAGCTCAATGGAGGCGCCTGAATATTCATTTGGACGACATCATAGGTGTGCGAGAATCAGCTTTACTTCGTGGACTTGGTGGAGTAATTGAAAATATAGGCTACATTGCAGGGAAAGTGCATGGGGACTGGGGCTTTGTCATGAGTGCTTCCTCGTATGTGGAAAGCTTTGCGACTCTCTGCGCATCTTTCTTAAATCAGGTATGCTTTGCATGTTGCTGTGGGAGGCATGATGAACTCAGTGAATGTATGACGGAGAATTGAGCTGAGAGGTAGTGTGCTATAATAATCTCCACTGTCTTCAAGGGGTGGTCTATTCGAACACGATTTTGTTCCTCTGCTGTTTCCTCCAAGCTCTACTGTTGATCTGAATGACAATATACATGACATTAATGTTTTGTTGTACTTTTTCAGGCGATTGGACGGTCAACTGGTGCTCATGGGGCATTTAGGGATTACCAAATTGATGCAGTGACACTGAACATGTTTGCGGGTGGTGATTTGGAGAGTTCGAGTTATCAGATCGATTTGTTTACCAGATATGGCAGGTTCGTATTCTTAAACTTCTCTTGCTTTGTTCCATTGCGAGAGAGAGAGAGAGAGATAGAGAATCAAATCAAATCAAATGGGGTTAGGCTGTTGTAGGGATCTTGATTGGCGATATTATTCATCTTCAGTCCTTTTGTTTCAACATTTTCGCATGTTCATCCTCTTCTGGTTTGCGCCAGGCTTGTGGAGGGAGTCATGCGCTCGGTGAACAACTTGCTGGAGAAGTTTCACCAATCCTTTTTTCTGTATCTTCTTTGTAGTCCAAGCAAGTTTGTATCGGTGGGCCTGTACATGATTCCTCTTGGCCTTCTTCTTATTACACTTCCTCTTGGGGCAGCAGCTCTCAACTCTGCTTTAAATAAAGCAGATGAAATTGGTCCAACGTCGGACTCTCAAGTTCTGAATCCACATTCTACCAACGCAAGCATTCCAAAAAGTACTACAACCAAGGTTGTGGGAGAGTCGAAGGAAAATGCAGGTCGATGGCGACGCGCGATTTTGGTTGTGAGTGTTGTCCAATTGTTGGCATTTGTTATTGCGCTTTTACCACCTATAGTGTCGTCGTTTGTGGATATACTTGAGACGAGTTTAGCCTCTTCAACTACCAGTACTCCAGTTGGTGGATTCACTTCAGCGAGCTTGAGAATGTTGTTATGGGCAGTTGTGGCTCTTGTAAGCCCCTTTGTGGCATTAAGTTTTCTTCCTAGTGCCGAACCGGGAGATTGGATGGCTGTCAAAGCTTTGGTGCTAGGGATATCCACTATAGGTCTAGTTGTAATGTCCCAGGTTGACTTTGCTGTGTCTCTGATTGGAGCTGTAGTGCTCGTACCAACATGTCTCTGCACTTCACCAATGAGAGATATTTGGGGAAGTTCTACAAAAGCCCAGCAGAAAGAACAAAGTTTCTTAGGACGTATTTCTTTGTTTTTAGGAATCATAGTCACTATTTTGGGGTCACCACCTGTTCTCCTTGCGGCTGTCGCTGCGTTCCTCTTAGATAACTCCCATTGGATAGTCAGTTTTGAGAGACTCTGGGAATGGACAGAATTGCTGTGGTCCGGAGGTAGTGCACTTTACATCTTTATTATGATCGTGTATCTTCCCTCTTCCTATCTTTCTATTTATATTTTGTTCTCTTAGACGTCAATCTGAAATCTTATTAGGACATTTAGAATCATGGTCTATAGTACGACCCTTGTAACATGCAGAGAATCAAGCATTTTAATCACAGATCAATTTCACCTATGATGTGCGCTCAAGTTGAAATAATGTGGTAGATGTGAAGGCTTCATTTGTCAAGTGGAGTTTATATTCGTTATCAACGATTGCAAGAAAGTAATTGTGCTCGAATTGTCCTTGATTTGTGCCTAATCACACCAATGGTGCTTTATGTAGCAAAAACAGCCATGTTGTTTTGAAAATTTATGTGCGAGTTTTAAAACGCCTCTTGCAGTGGTAATAGTTAATATCTCTGTTCATGTGTTTCAAGATTTCTCCGTCTTGAGTTCACAAGGCTGAGAACAACAATGGCAGTTCCGCAGTCGGACCTGAATAATGCACACCTTCCCGCGCAGGGGAAACTGTTTTCGTACGTAAATTGTTTTTGCTCATCTGTCCAAGTGCCAAGTAGCGCATGCATCCCGTTCGCTGGAAAAGCTACAGAATGTATCTCTCTCCTGTGAATGGTTTTGCTTGCAGCATTTAGGCTCTCGTCAACTTGCGTTGTCTGGGATCTAACAGTTTGCTAGCAGGTACAGCAGCTGGCGCGTTTTGAATGATCCGACGAGCCATTCACAGGAGAGAGAGATACAAATACTGGCCATGTTAGTGGCACAGCTTCTGCCAAGGTTCTAGGTTCGTTTCCTTTCTTTTTTTGCTTGTTTCTCACACTAACTAAAATTCAGCTTGATCCTTACGAAACAGTAGTGAAAGTGAAATTGCAATGACCCTAGATTAATCAGCTGGGAATTCAAGGATTGAGAAGTGAAGCTAAATATCTGTTATACTACCCAGGTGAGTATCCATTTGAATGGCATTGAGCCATTACATGTACATCTTCTCCCCACTCTTTCTGCAGAAGTCTGACATTCTGTCCCACATGGTCATGACTTTCTCGTAGAAAGACAGGTCGTTGTTGATGAGGCACTGGTTGATTTGGCAGTTTTCCGTGTTCTTCACATCTAAGTGATCAGTCTCTGTTCTGCACACTGGTATTCACGCCTTCTCCGCATGCCCCATCTTGATCCTCAACCTACCGCGCAGTTCGAGTCACATATAGTGTTCCTATGTAGTCTTGCACGCCTTCTTTGTAGTTTTGTACAGAGTTCGGGTGCGGCTTGCTTTAGGTGAAGGTCGGGTCTTGAAGATCCCACCAGCCCAATCCGCCCTTGAAAGGCTGTATTTTTAGAGGGAAGAAAACACCAATAAATGTGCATTTGCAACTTCTTCAAAATTATCAAATCCAATAGATGGTTCATAGTGTTGGCCCATTCTAAAAAGATGTGGTTGAATGCTACGCCAGTGGTAAGGATCGATTTTGACCCTGGGAATGGGAAGGATGGGGGATACATTGGTGGAAATGGAGAAAACTGAGAAAAACTTGGTGGAGCCGTCCAGCACTGTCAATAAAAGCGTTAATTGTAGGAGTTTGTCAGAGAAGTGGATATTGTTATCATGGTAGTGCCTTCTTACGTGAAGCAGGTGGTGGGACGGGGTGCTTCCGTGGAAGGACTGGAATTGGGAAGGACGTAATTTCTTTGTGTCTATTTGTTGCCTAGACTAGATGTGTGGGAAGGTGGCACTGGACTCGATTCCTCCTTTGTTTGTTGCCAAATCTGGATTTATGGAAGATCGCCGCTGGATTGTCGTAAAATCTAGGTAAGTTTCTGAATGTGATTATGCTTCCCATAGCCTTCTTTGGGTGCTGGGTATGACTGATGTACAAGCAGTTTTTGTGCTACTTTTCCAATGGCACTGAGGTTGTCATGGAGCTTGTTGTCCAATTGAGTGGGTGGTGTTGTAGTTGCTCATGGACGGCTTGCATTTTGAATAGTGCTTCACTAGTTACCAATCACATCTGAGACTAGAATTGCTTGCAAATGGGATTGTAAATGTACTGCAGTATATGTTGGTCTTGCATACCAAAAGAGCAAAATCTTTCTGCAAGTAGGTCGGAACTTGAAGTTTGGAGAAGCTATGATGGGTCATTATGCTAAATTATTTAAAAGTCATAGTGCAAGCATGCTAATGTTGCTTTTCATGCATTTCCATGCCTTACTTATTTGACGTTGTAGTGTACAGTGAGAAGTGTTAACTTAGGAATAAGGTGAGAGACCAGTTCATTACCAAAGTCATCTCCATGTTCCTAATTTTGCTTAGAACTGGATCTTTACATCATACCATATACAAGTGAGAGAAAACATGATGGCAACTCCATTCATTTGAATGTCATTTGATTTTTATTGCTCAAATAGTTTTTCATAAGAAAACTATGTATAAAGATTAAATGTTACTTTTATATATTATGAGTTCATCAAATTTAGAGTTGACTTTCTTATGCAAACATAACATATATATATATATATATATTCAAAAAAATAAAAGAACTCAAATATAAATCTTTAAATGAATAATTTTAAGAGAAATTGTATATGATTTAGTATTTTTTTTTGCAGAGAAGATTTTATTTACAAAATAAACATCGATTTTAGAGTAAATCTTCCAAATACTTGAACTATTTTGGTAAACAGAAGCAAGAAGTACAAAAAAAATATATCAAGTAAATAATTTTATTTAAAACTAGAAACTATAAAATTTAAGCAGAAACTAAAATATTAAAAATCTTAATATAGGATAGATCTATGAGTATCTTTGAATGTATTTTGTTGCAATATAAACTTCTCAATAAATTTGCTAATGAATATATCTGGGAAGCCACAAAAGAAACACCTTATAATTTAGAGACTTGATTTGTATGCATTTTGGTCCTTCAAAAGCTTTTGCATAATTTTTATCATTAACTAATACATATACAGGCAAGATAAAGGCCATTTTTAATCCTGTTGACATCTTTCCTATAGATTCTAAAATATGCAAGACATATAATTAATTATAGATCCAATAATACCTTTATACTTTTAAACTTTAAAATGAACATTGATTTTCTTTCTTTTTTTCTTCTTGGTTGTATATAATTACATTGTATTTTGACAAAGCTATTTAAATTTTCATCTTAAGAAATTTAAAAAAATATGGTGGAATCAGCAATACTCTCTTTCTTTCATTGAACATAAGTAGAAGGAAAAAAAAAGAAAAAAAAATCAGGCTTGTTGTGCATTAATTTTGTTTACCACCAATAAAAGTAATTAATTAAGAGAATATAAAGATAGCAAGAATATTTTTGAAAATTCTACTACTTTATTTGATCGTTCTTATTGCAAGATAATATGAAAAATATAATCATATGTATTAAAAAACCAAAGCAAAAGTTTATTGGTATCAGGTCTAATTTTTTTTAAATTTATTAACAAAAGACAATTTTTCACCAAGTTCTAGTTTCAAAGTCAATCAATTCAAGCCTATTAAATTATATTTTATAAAAATATGACTATATCAATTAAGGAATTCTTGGTCTTAATCATTTCAGAAATAATAAAATCTAGTATGTCAAAAAAGTATGTCAAAAAATTGGTTTGCCTAATTATAATGAAAGAGAGTATGTATAGTAATCCTTATATAACACCATCTTATAAATTTCTTATATAATCATAGAAACCTCCTCTTAGCATCATAGAATAATTTTGTTTAGAATTTCAAATTTATGTATTTTGTGTTATAAGACTTTAATATAGTCCATAATATAATATATTGTATTTGCTTCAAAATTTGATCCATATTATGTTTAAAGGTAGTTGATAATTTCTTAAAACTAATGATATATATATATATATATATATATATATATATATATTTACATTTGTAAAAGGCCATTGAATTATTTAGAAGTGTATATATATATATATATATATATATATATATATATAATCTTTTACGTAACACATAAAATAACATTTATTTGACTATTATAATAATATTGCATATAACTTTCATTTAAAACCTTATAGTTTTCACATGATAACAATGATTGGAATAAATAAACTTTACATCATTTGCAAATTTTTTTTTTTCATGTTCAATGAGATAAAGCACCAACATAAAGATTGGTGATTTTATAAAGTACCATTGTAGTTTGTTAAAATTTATTTAATATCTTTTAATATATTTCTACTACAAAAAGTTATAAAATAGTTTTGAATTCAATTTATATTGATAATACTAATATTAAAATTAAAATTTAATCCTATATTTAAATAAATAGATAAGTGTAAATAGATTGGCAGATCGGCTCTGTGCCCCTTCAATTGTGCATTATATTCACTATCTATTACTGAATTTCAAACATTTTATTCCATTCATTTTAAAAATATTATAATCTGTGAATTTGAGGCAATCTACTTGTACTCATATATTATATGTTTTTTTATATTCTAAGTAGAAATATAGCTAACTCAATAAAATCTTTACAATATTTCGAATAAATCCGTGATTAGTATGATATGAAAAGTCAACTGAGTTGGAATATCATTTGTGGTTGATGTAGATTTTATTAATACCTTTTCAATATTTTTGCCGCTTGTCAGTAAAATATTACTTTATACAGAAATTGAAAGAATTAGTTTTGAGTAAAAAAGATGTGATTAACCTTATCTTTGCTATTTTTTTTGTTTGAAAACAAGAGATAACCTTAATAACTTTATTTCATAACATTGACCATTTTTTCAAAGTAAATAAATTGTATTCCCTTGGTTATCACATTATTTTATCTAGTAAAAAATTAATTAGAAATGCAAGAAACTAATACTATAATTCATTATTGGAATAGAAAAAAAAATCAAACAAACAAACAAACAAAGTATAAAACAGAGTGAATTTAAATTATAATATACAAAATAATCTTGGTCGTACGTTCAGTAATAAATTTTAAATATGTAAATTCGAAATTGCACAAAAAAAGAATTGGGATTCCATTATTTCGGAATAAGAATACATTCAAAGCATTTTGTTAAATTTAATTTTGGGGACAAACAAGGAGAACCTCTAAGGGCACACAAAGTGATAAGCCCCACAATAGACCCAGGTAACTCTAAATCATCATGTGTTCGAACCTCGCCAGCGGATGTAAACAAGGCGCCATTAGAGGGAGGGATGGACTGTGTGAGGAATGAGGGGACTCTATCACTCACAGCGCGCGTCCGCTTTTCTGATGAAGTAAGTAAATGACTATGACACTGTGTGACCGCGTGGGCCCCGGAGTTGCGTCATGTATGTGGTACCTTACCGTCCTGCTTGGTCTGTGACGATTACGAGTCCAGTCGAGCGGAATCGGAATTGCAATCAGGATCGCTGCGTATTCTATAGGACGTGGACTCAATGCAGGTGATTGAGGTTGTATGTGGGAAAGTTATTTGTATGGATGTTCGAGGAGTTTGTGCATTGCCTCAGTGGGGTTGTTTTTGTTTTGTTTTGTTTTTGTTTTTGTTTTTGTTTTTTTTTTTGTGAGTGTTGGTGTTGCTTCTTTTTTTCCTGGTGTTGTTGTTTAGATTGTTGCCTTTGAGGACGACGGTGATGCGGGCGTACGTGCGTTGTCGGTAGGTTGCGGCGAGGGGATTGATGTGGCGTAGGTGAGAGTTTTGGTTGTGGATTGTAGATCCAAGGATTGAAGGACGGCGGCGCTTTCCAGGTTAGGGCGAGGAGCGTTGCTTGCGAGTATGGGGCGAGGCGGTGTCGTAGTGCAGGGGTGATGTGCGCGGGAGCAGATTGAGGGAGGGATGAAGAGAGGAACAGGATTGATTGGGAGTGAAGGTGATAGTAAGGAATAGAGAGGAAATGGGCCGATCAACGCAAAACCCTAGTACCAGCATGGAGGGATCAGCGGGGGGCGAGGGATGGGGGAAGACGAGGCTCAACGGCGGAGCTGTGGCATGTATGATGAACGTGGAGGTGAGTGCGGTGTTGGCCGTGATGCGTCGGAATGCGCGATGGGCGGGACGTTACATGGCGAGCGACGATCAGCTGGAGCATCCGCTCATCAGGTCGCTCAAGAGTCTCAGACGGCGAATTTTCACGTGGCATCTGCAGCAGCCGTGGCACACAATTAAACCTGCCTTATACTTGTCCCCCTTTCTCGATGTCATCCGGTCTGATGAAACTGGCGCCCAGATTACAGGAATCGCTCTTTCTGCAGTGTACAAAATTATTACATTACAGGTTTTTGATGTTCATACCATGCAGGTGGATGTTGCAATGCATATGATTGTAGATGCCGTCACTAGCTGCAGGTTCGAGGTCACCGACCCTGCCTCAGAGGAGGTCGTTTTGATGAAAATTTTGCAGGTGATGTTTGCACTCCAATGACCTTAGTTCAAAATCCTAAACCTACCGTTGTTAAATTAGTTTCTGATATGTTGGATTACATCTGTTTAAGCTATGGTGTTTTTGCTTACAACTTCACGTATCATGTTATCTCTGCAGGTACTTCTTGCATGTATGAGAAGTGGAGCGGGTGCAGTTTTGAGCAACCGGGATGTATGCAATGTTTTGAACACAAGTTTTCGTGTGGTCCACCAAGCTGGCAGCAAGGGAGAGCTCTTGCTACGCACAGCACGCCACACAATGCATGAGCTTGTTCGAGCTGTCTTCTCTCATCTTCCATCTTTGAATGTGACCCCCGCTCTTATTGCTCTTCCGAGCAACAACCCCGAGGCTGCATCCAGTAATGGTGCTGTCTATGTAAGTGTTATTCCTGTAGCCATATCTACTCCAGAAACTAGAGTCGATTAAATTTGAAAATGGATGACTATTCCTTTACATGAATGACCATTTGAATAGCTAATTCTTCTTGCATAATTTTTGTAACTGGGGGTTCATTTTGAGTTCTACTTGACGGTTCCGTCGTTCTTTTCCGCTTCACAAAACATTTGATTAGGAGTTGATTGTGCCCAAGCTGGTTGTTATTGCAGGATGCATCTGAAACAAACGTGGATAGTGAAGTGGCTGGTAATGGTGAACTAGCAGATTATGAAGGGGTTGAGACATTTAGCGAAGATGGGTCTAGAGGGTTTCCCTACTCTGGGAGTAACGGTCAAAGTAGAAGTGTTATGGTCACCGATCAAATTAGCGCCATTGAACCGTATGGCATACCGTGTATGGTTGAGATTTTCAGTTTTCTGTGTTCACTCTTGAACATTGCAGATCCTCAAAGCCCGGGACAAGCTGTATTAGCCAGCGATGAAGACGTACCTCACTTTGCACTTTTGCTGATTAATTCCGCAATAGAGCTTGGAGGAGAGTCGTTTAGCCGCCACCCGAAGCTACTGGCCTTGGTCCAAGATGAGCTGTTCAGAAACCTAATGTTGATGGGGCTTTCACCTAATCCCTTGGTCCTGTCGATGGTTTGTGGAATCGTCTTGAACCTGTATCATCATCTCCGTACTGCTTTAAAACTTCAATTGGAGGCATTTTTCTCCTTTATCTTGATTCGGCTTGCATCAGGAAATTATGGCGCGACGCATCAGCAACAAGAAGTTGCCATGGAAGCTATTGTAGATTTTTGTCGGCAACCTACCTTCATGCCTGAAATGTACGCAAACTTCGACTGTGATATCACTCTGAGCAACACTTTTGAGGATCTGGGTAACCTGCTTTCGAAGAGTGCCTTCCCAGTCAATTGCCCTTTATCTGCCATGCATGTACTGGCACTGGAAGGCATTCTTGCCGTTGTCCACAGTATGGCCGACCGGGTTGATTCTGGAGCCTCAGCACTTACATCTAGCACTTTATCTATGGTAGCTGAGAATCAGGAATACGTTCCGTTCTGGACGTTGAAATGCGAGAATTATGAAGATCCTGTTAGTTGGGTTGACCATGTAAAGCATCAGAAGTATGTCAAGCGCCGGCTTATGATTGGGGCAGATCACTTTAATAGAGACCCAAAGAAGGGGCTGGAGTTTCTTCAAGGCATCAGATTGCTTCCTGCAAAATTGGATCCCAAGAGCGTAGCTTGCTTCTTTAGGTACGCCAGTCTGCAAAGACAATCACAGCACCCTTTAGTAAACTTTATTGCAAGAGTTGAACTTTCTGATTCGATTGGGATTCCAGTTAGTTATATTAAGAGGTAGGATGCGACGATATTTGTCGTTCAATAGGACGAAGGAAAAGAAAAAAAGTGGTTGTTTTTTGCGGATATTGGTCATTGGCATACCAGTTCTTTTAGAGGTGCTGCACCCAAGCTGTAACACCAAGAAACATTTCAAACCATCAAGTTTTCTTCATCTCTACGACATGATACCTATCTGGTATTTGTGTTGTATACTGAACAGCGGACTTGACTGAGTACTTTACTTCTATATATTTCTGATTTGAAGCTTGATTAGGGCTTGTTACTGAAATTCATGATTTGATATCTTGCTTTCAGGTACACCACAGACCTAAACAAGGATCTTCTGGGAGATTTTTTGGGAGACCCTGATGATTTTTGTCTGAAAGTGTTGGAGGAATTTGCTGGTACTTTTAACTTCAGTGAAATGGGTATTGATGGTGCTTTGCGGACTTTCTTGGAGAGCTTTCGGTTGCCTGGAGAAGCACAAAAAATCCACAGGGTTTTGGAAGCCTTTTCAGAAAGGTATTATCACCAATCGAAGGGCATTTTTGCCAACAAAGATGCCGCGTTTGTGCTGTCATACTCGGTCATTATGCTCAACACCGATCAGCACAACGTGCAGGTTAGTTATTTCAACTATCTCTCAATGAACTCTTTTTGTTTGTAGGTGCGTCTTTGTGCATGAGCTCTGATGTAATCGCACTACTTGCTTGAAGTTGCAAGTTCTCTTGTGATTAGAAATATCCTTTTAATTTCAAGTGCGGTTTTGGGATTTCACTGATTTTTAGTAACTGTGAATGTCCTCGTTAGTTGAACACTGTTTTGTAATACCCAACTGCCGTCTAAGCTCTGATGTGGCACGCCATTACTTTTCTGAATGGTTTTGTCTTTTATGACTTATGGCTTGCAAATGCTTATTCCAAGTTACCTAATTATCTGTCGCTGTCTGTAAGTAGGTGAAGAAGAAAATGACCGAGGAGGACTTTATTAAGAATTTACGAAGTATAAACGATGGTCAAGACTTGCCTCGTAAAATGCTCTCTGAACTCTACCATTCTATCGTAAGAAGTGAAATCAAAATATCATATGATGGTGGAACTGGTGTTTCTGAGTTGACTCACAGTCGGTGGGTTGATTTGATGCGCCGTTCTATTACAACGACTCCCTATATCACCTGCGATTCACGACCTCTCCTCGACCATGACATGTTTGCTATCATTTCTGGCCCAACAATCGCTGCTATTTCTGTGGTGTTTGACCATGCTGATGATGAAGAGGTGTGTAAACAGGTTCTTAAAACATGTCTGGAAATGTTAACGTGATAATTTAGCGTTAAGTCTGAGATTATGTTCCAAATTTTGACAAAGTTTTCAGTCGAGCAGGTTGTATATGATGGTGAATGTTTCATCTTCAGGTTACAGCATGAGAGATTTTCAAACAGATCTGCGAATAAGTGTTGTAGATTATATTTTTGATGCCTTGAGAGTGAACATTCTTTGAATGATATAAGAACTTCAAAAGTTGTCCATATTGTAGGTTGAGATAATTTATTATTGCTGGCAAAGTTTTGAAAGTAGCGTTGGGCAGGATTCTCCTTAGCTTGTTAAGTTGTTTTTACTGAGTCTTGCCCCCTTGCGATTATTATTACTGACTTGCAGAATTTATTTGGTGGTGGGTTTAGGTCCTTGTTTCACATAAAAAATGTGAGAATTTTATTTATCGGTCCTACTGGCTCGCGGGTATTGTACGACTGAAAGGCTGCAACTAATTTAGTTCTGCTCTTTGTCTGATTAGGTCCTGCGATCCTGTGTTGAGGGTTTTCTTGCTGTTGCCAAGATTTGCGCTAGTCATCGATTGCAAGATGTCTTGGACGACCTTGTAGTTTCTCTTTGCAAGTTCACTACTTTGCTCAATCCCTTGGCTTCTGCTGAAGAACCAGTGGTTGCTTTTGGTGATGACACTAAAGCTCGCATGGCGGCTATCACTGTGTTTTCAATTGCAAACAAATTTGGAGATTTTATTCGCACTGGCTGGCGCAACATCCTGGATTGTATTTTACGTCTGCACAAGTTAGGACTTCTACCTTCCCGGGTTCCCAGTGATCCAGTAGAAGACTCCGACCTGGTCGGTGAGTAGCATATTTACACCTTATGGCGTGGGTATGCTAGACGGTGTTCTTATGTACTTCAATGATTGTTTTCCTTTTCGACGTGCAAGCTAGCATGGTCTATGTATAACCATGAGGATAATTAAGTTTGAAGAACAGTCGATTGAACTTTGTGTCAGGCTAATTTTGTACTCCTTGAAGTTATAATGCGATTTTTGGCATTGTTGAGCAGTAGCATATCACGAAGTTCTTGAACTGAATTAGGAAATTTGCGCAGGTGATTCTGTGCAAGGTAAACTTGCAGGGAGTACATCGGGAATGGCCTCGATGCCTGTGACAGGAAATCGACGGCGCTCCACTGGCTTAATGTCCAGATTTAGCCAGTTACTCTCCCTGGATGCTGATGAGCCGCGATTTGCTCCCACAGAGCATCAGCTAGCTGCTCAACAACGAACATTGCGCACAATTGAGTCTTGTCACATCGACCAAATTTTCACGGATAGTAAATTTTTGCAAGCTGAATCACTGCAACAGTTGGCGAGGGCGCTTGTCTGGGCCGCTGGGAGGCCCCAAAAGAATGGAGGCTCGAGTGAGGACGAGGACACTGCAGTCTTTTGCTTAGAGCTTCTGTTTGCGATTACTTTGAATAATCGGGACCGCATTATGCTGCTATGGCAAGGCGTTTATGATCACATGGCAGGCATTGTTCAAACAACTGTTGTTCCTGGTTTGTTGGTTGAGAAGGCAGTATTTGGGCTCTTGAGAATTTGCCAGCGTTTGCTTCCATATAAAGAGGACTTGGCCGAGGAGCTTCTGAGGTCGCTACAACTCATTTTGAAGCTTGATGCTCGGGTAGCAGATGCATTTTGTGAAAGAATAACTCAGGAAGTAATGGTGCTGGTGAGGGAAAACTCTGGGCACATCAAATCACCCATGGGCTGGCGTACTGTCTCATCTCTTCTCTCCATTACCGCCCGACATCCTGAAGCCTCCGATCCTGGATTTGAGGCACTTTCATTCATCATGCAAGATGGGGCTCACCTAACTCCTGCCAACTATGTTCTATGTTTGGATGCTGCACGCGCATTTGCTGAAGCCAGAGTTGGTGGAATTGAAAGGTCGATTAGAGCACTAGATCTTCTTTCAGACTCTGTAGGATGTCTCAAAAGGTGGTCCAAAGCGAAATCTGCGAGTACAGGACTATCTACCTCTGAGGTTGTGGAAGGATCTTCTCGCTTTTCACAAGAGTTGGCTGAGATGTGGCTAAGATTAGCACAAGGACTGAGGAGAGTTTGCCTTGAGCAGAGAGAGGAAGTGCGAAATTATGCCATAATTTGTTTGCAGCGCTGCCTTGCTGCTGCTGGCAGTATTGCTCTGACCCCAACAATGTGGATACAGTCCTTCGAACAGGTCTGCTTTCTTGCACAATCCTCAAAGAAGCGTGTTTCTTTGTTTGCATTTCTGATTACTATTGTAGTTGTGTTTTTGGGTAGTCGCTCTCAGTGGCTCAGTTTCTTGGTTACTAATTGTTACAAGAAAGAAAGTTCTTCATGCTGTTGGATTGGTTTTTTGTGACGTATTTGCCAATAATATCTTTGTGAGTTCTGATCCTGAGTCTCTTGCCTTGTACTTCAGTCAGGAATTTCCTCTGTTCTAATTTGCGTTGCTTGTTTTCTGATCATGTCATCAGGTGGTCTTAACTTTAATGGATGAGCTGTTGGATATTGCCGTTAGATACCCGCCAAAGGAATACAGAGGCATGGAGAGTACATTAATCCATGCTGTAAAATTCCTCTCGAATTTTTATTTACAGTTTCTTGATCAGTTTGCACAATTACCTACATTCCGTACTACGTGGACTCAGGTTTTGAATCGTATGGAGATGTATATGAATGCAAAGCTTCGCAGTAGGAATACTGAGAAACTTCAGGAACTCGTACCTGAGCTTCTTCGGAATATATTGAAGGTGAGGCATACTGGGTTAATTTATCTTCACATATTTATTTTCACCCTGGTTTCTTTTACCGCAAATTGAAGTGCTAGTCAGTACTCCCTGTTGATTATGAGTTGTCAGAATAAAGTCACATGGCACAACTGCAACTGAAAGCGAAACTAGGTGGACATGTGGCTGGCTTTACGTGTTGCTTGAGTTCAATGTGTTATTATGGGTTCAAATCTGCCACTCTTTTATCCCTGTTATGGGTTTCCAATTCAAATTCTTCTCGTCTCTAGATTTGTTGTTTGCAGAGCTTCCGTCCATCTTTCCACTATCCATGGTTAGTTGCATCTTCAATGACATATTTGTCGCAAAAACTTGTATTGCAGGTCATGCACGGTCGCAAGATCTTAGTGCAGTCAAGCACATCAAGTGGAGACAGCTTTTGGGAGTTAACCTGGCAGCTTATGCGAAGTATTTCCCCTTCTTTGGAACCAGACCTTTTAAATGAACCTATTTCAGAGGAGGGCAGAGATGCTCCCGCAGACCTCAATGGATCAACAGTAGCTGAACCAGGTACTGACGCAGCTAGCTTACCCTCGGAGGATCAAGGCACAGAAGAGCATGAGTCATTTGAAGAAACGCAATGATGTATGTCGACCAAAGAGTGAGAAATTCTTTCATTACCATGACTTTGGAAAATTATTTGATGCTATAATTTGCATGTATTTGAAGTTATGTGTGCTTTGGTTACATGTCTGTCCATGCAGTCGATTTGAATCGTTCGCCTGTTATTCCTCAATGTAGGTGACTAAAAATGATTTTTACTCTGGAATTAACGAACACTCTCATTGTTACAGGTTTAGGATTAACCCCGCATAGAATTAGAGCAATCAAGGTACCTGAATGCATTTGAGTTCACATCGTATGCAAATGGAGCTTTCCATATTGTATGAAGCTACTTGGGGCCCATTTTGAAGGGTATCGCTGTTGCGCTGTTAAATCTTTTCCATCTGCTCATCAAACCACAGTTTGTGAAGGCATTTCACAACCTCGTGCATTTAGATGTGGGTTGAATGTAAGTTTCAACAGCCCTCATTTCGGAACTTGTACATGACTTATTTCATGTCGATTGTTTTTGAATGAAATCTATCTTGTACGTCATGGTGATTGAATTACAGTCACTTGTTTGTCTACTTGTTTACATTTCATAAGTTTGGAATGACGGACTCTTTTTAATTTTTTCGCAGGTTATATTGGGAATCTGCCCTAGCCCAAATGGCGCAGCTATTCTCGAAGTCACGGTCGCAATTTAGTGTACATTAGGTTTGAGGAGGTCCGTTGCAGCTCGAGGACCTGAGCAGATTTCGATAGGGTCAAGATCTATGTGAACTGCATATTGTCTTGATGTACCTTTTCATGATTTGTGGGGCTTGGTGCCTACTTGATTGATCAGATGAGTCACTTTGTGAATACATTGAACTTTTGTTGAAGTGTTACTCATTCGGTACATAATGGAACAAAAATCCAGAACTATCATGTACCCTCTGTAAGTCATGTGATTGTAGCATGGCGTGGGTAGAATTTGGTAGACCGCATATTATGCCCCAGAACGCTCTCTGAACCAACTGCTGCTGAGTGGATCAGTAACAACTCTCAATGGACCATACATCTCTCAGTGCTCTACATTCCCAAGCGCTAAACCCACTATTTTTCACACCTTGTCAAGGTTATTGAAACATAAACGTAATTTTTACGCCAAAGTTACCTGCCTCATCACGAATAACCTTTGAGCTTCCTTCCTCAGATCTTGTACTATGTGAGACCCTTCACAATAGGTTTCGTACCGTACAAAGTTTGCTAAGCAATTGACTCCGGAGTGGTGGTTGACATTGACAATTCCGACGCTCCCGCTGTTGGAGATCGAGGGTCAATCATCTCCAAACTCTTGTGCGATATCTTTCAAATCATTGCTCAATGTAGATGGAGCATCCTTGACGCCATACCCTAGCAGCCCAGATGATTGAAATGGAGCTCAGCAGTTCAGAAACCCGAGGGGTCCACTTCATTTTGCTGACCTTTCATATCACAAGCCCTGACATGATGGAAGATAAACTTCATGTGTTCAGTCCTCATCATTGGCGACTCAAGTAGCAATGCCGATGATTAGCATGGTGATTTGAATGGTAAGAGTATGGCTACCCTGAAAGACTTATGAACCAACCCAAGAGGTGATCTTAGGGGACAGTAAGCTTGCCACTTGCTTTACATGAAATGACTGAATTCAAGCAACATGGGGACGTGGTTATGGGCACTCACAGCAAAAAGTATCATTATGCAAAGCTGCGTCCCAGTATCAAGTATCTCACAGTTGAATTGTGACATGATAAGAGTTGAGGACCTCGAGAGGCGACTTGATGCATTTACTGACAACTGGCCAACTCTCGAGAACTTTCTGCCTCAACGCAGCATCGTCAGTGAAGGAACTCTTTTCAGTGGAATGATAAAACTTTACTTGAATTCTTCCTTATCGTGGATGGTGATCGGTGTCCAAGGAGTAGTCGTTCAGTTCGGAGCCTTCGATTGAGTTCGATATGCTTCACTTCATACCAATTCCAACGACGCCCGTTCCACTACTGGAATTTTTTCTTCACAGTGGCACATTTGCAGATATTGGGTGCAGACAAGTTTCTGTTTAGAATGAAGTGACACTGAGTTACAAACTCAAGATTGTGTAAAACTCCAACAGAACATTTAGAAAACTGTGCGAGCAAAGATCATGGCTTCAGTTTGCAACTTCTTGACTAGCTCCAGCTCATTAATGACTTATCAGCAATTCTCGGCGTAATGCCAACTTGATTCTTCTGGGGTATCCTTGATGTTCTCCTCAGCAACGGTTAGTTGTTGCTGCACACTCTGAACAACGTTTTCTTCATTGTTACAGACGTATTTGCTGGTTGAACTGGATACTTTATGCAAACCATGCATGTTATACACATTAAAATGAGCTCGATAGGTGCGATAATACTCACATCCTCGGAATGAACTTGTACAGCTTTCCTGACGGTCTCACCCACTCCACGCCCACTCCACTCGTGTGTGTGAATCGATCATTGCAAAAGCCTGGGTTGAGTTTCTAAGAAGTCAAACAGCTAGAGCAGTAAGAATATGGTAGACGCAGTGACGATTTCTGGGAAAGGAGATGGTGAGTAAATTGCGAAGGAATGTTGAGCATGAGGAAAAGTGTAGTCTGAAGTATTTGTGCAGGTGGCGTTAGATTTGAATTTCCTACATTTGTTAGTTACCTTTGCGTATCCTTTTGAAAATTTAAAGATAATAGAAAAGGAAGAGAACATGAAGCTTTAGCCGAAGACACTGCTAAAACATTTCAACCTCATGGCATATTTATTCGTATGAAGGTTTGAAAAGATATTAATAGCAAACGTCGGTGAAGCAAAACAATTAAAACATCTATATGAAATAACTTTCAGCACAAGCCACTGGTTCGAGCGAAGGGCACCACGTCGTCCAAATGATATGCCAGTGCACCGATGACGATCAACGGGTATTGCTTTCTTCAAGCCACAGCACAAAGATATTTTTATTAAAGCATAGTAATGTCATCCACTGAACGACATATTCCCCCGGCAACAATGGGATGGCTGAGGAAAGGTTGACTTGAAGTTCAATGCTGATACAAGCAGAAAATCAATGCTAGCACAACACGAATTCCCTGTTCGGAAGCTCCTCATAGGACAAATTGAAGTGCTCAAGATATTAGCTAATAGCTTGTTAGTTTTCAGGAGAGATGCAAAGAGGAAGGCGGGCTTTCCCTGCTTCAGCTCCAGCTGCTGCTTCAGTACCAGGTGAACATGCACAGCTTCACCAACCGAATGTTTCTCTTGTAACAACTGTAAACTTCTACTCCCTAGTGGTTCAATCTCGTGTTCTTGATCCGGAGCATGGCGGAAAATTTTGATTGCGCTTTTCTATGTGGTGTTGTAGGGATAAGAATCCCCCCTGGCGCTAATCCTGTGTCAATCAGTTACAGCGAAGTAGTGCCTACTGTTTAGGAATTTCCTGTAATTCATCCATCGATTTCAATATAAAAGGCTACGTATCATGCTGCGACAACAGGTATTTGAGATTCAACTTATGATCCGTGTGTGATACCGCGTCTAAGGCACACGGAGGTTTCCATCCTGAGTTTTGCATACATTCATCCCTTCATTGTCGAGTCGTGCCTAGCATCTCTTGTGACTGCCACTTACAAGATTCCGGCCAATTGCATAGAGCGACATCTCACGCGGTCTTCAATCACCTTCAAAGGCTCACATGATTAGAGACGCTATGATAATTTGGTGGAGACATTCGGTATATTCTCACTAAGATGAGCGGCGGAGTCTGGGAGAACAATGAGTAAACGATTGTGGGAGGTATTGAACCGCTGGCAAGGCTCTGATGAACACGGTCTGAGAGATTCAACAATTAGAGATTGCGGAAGAAGAAGGCTATTGTACGCCACCCTGCAGCCCCATCCATGGATCATTATCGTCATCCAGAGAACACTTCCAAGCAAGGGAAGAATCCACCTCCAACACTCATCCTTGGAGTATCACAATACGTCCTTGGACTTCTCTAGTATACAACCATCTCTTACTCTTGCTTTGGAAGAGCGATGTTTAGATAGATGCCAGCAGAGATTCAACAATTAGAGATTGCGGAAGAAGAAGGCTATTGTACGCCACCCTGCAGCCCCATCCATGGATCATTATCGTCATCCAGAGAACACTTCCAAGCAAGGGAAGAATCCACCTCCAACACTCATCCTTGGAGTATCACAATACGTCCTTGGACTTCTCTAGTATACAACCATCTCTTACTCTTGCTTTGGAAGAGCGATGTTTAGATAGATGCCAGCAGAGATTCAACAATTAGAGATTGCGGAAGAAGAAGGCTATTGTACGCCACCCTGCAGCCCCATCCATGGATCATTATCGTCATCCATCCATGGATCATTATCGTCATCCAGAGAACACTTCCAAGCAAGGGAAGAATCCACCTCCAACACTCATCCTTGGAGTATCACAATACGTCCTTGGACTTCTCTAGTATACAACCATCTCTTACTCTTGCTTTGGAAGAGCGATGTTTTGACAGATGCCAGCAGAGACTCTATGGGAGAGATGCTAAGTCAAACAATTAATGAATAAGAGAGGGTAGTGGCATATGTATGCCAAGTAAAACTACTTTATCAGTATAGAATATGTAAATAAATTTTGTGGTAAGTTACTAGTTGGTTATTGACAATCTTGAGAATTAGATTGATGGTTAGGCAGTTTAGTTGGTAATAGTACGTTGTTAGAGGAACAAATGGTTAAGAATTCAAAGGATCATAACCTTTGGAATGTGCTGGTTGACGGTCCATCTTTTGATAGGATAAAGTGGTTGAGAAGTGGGAGATTGGGGCCAGACTGTGAAAGTCGTAAGCCGGAGTAAACTTGGTGCTACTTCTTTGTTTTGTTTTGTTTTGTTTTGTTTCTTTTTTTTTGTTTTTTTTTTTTCTTATGAAGAATTGTGAATTGAGAGAAGTATTGTTGAAACTGTGATTAGAATATTGTAGAATATGACTTTGGACTAATCGATTTGGAGAAAATCTGTGACCTTGAGAATTGAGATTATCGAATTGTATTGTGTTAAGTGAAGATATTGAATTCTATGTGATGAATTGAAAAATTGAATATAATAAGTAAGCTGGAGATTAGTAATTGAATATATATAAACCGCAAAGAGAGTAAGTGGGAGATAAACTGATAAAAATATGAAAGTATTGTTGAATTAATAGTCATAGAATGGATTATGTATTGAATTAAGATGGAAGTAGTAAGCCTTGGTGTTTTGTAGTTTGATAATTGATTTCATATAGCTAGAGTATAGTCAATTGTGACACTAACAGACCCAATTCATATAACCAGTCTTTCCCCGTGTTCGAAACTACCTCTATTACTTCAATTGCTTTGGTATATTGAAGCTTGAACACAACGAGAACAACAATCAGCGACAAAGAAGGCTTGGTCGTAATCTTTGGCATTAAGCATTTTTGCCCGTACCTGCATGGTAGCGAATTCACTATTGAGATAGATCATGCTCCCCTCAATGCATTGTTAAATTCTCATGACCTCACGGTGTCGTGTTGTGGTTCGGCTACTATATAAAAATAATATAATTATGTACTTAATGTATAATTTATTAAGTAACATGGTAAGAGCCATATTAGTAGATTTTAGTTGGTTGTAGAATATAATTTGATTATTATCTTGAGAAGAGGTTGTTTAAAAAGATTACTATAGAATTTGTATAACTTTAATTTCTTTTTGATAGTGACTTTTAAGATTGGTTTTGGTTGATAGTAACTTCTAAATATTTAGAATCACCTTTGTTAGACATTGGTGACCTTTGAAAACTTCTTTTGGTTCTTCTATTTGGTGTTTAGAGCATAAATTATGTAAATCTTACAAGAAAAAGGGTTGAAGA